CGCAGGGCGGGTCAGAGCCGCCCGCGGGGGGTGGGGGTCGTAGCCCCGGAAGCCTGGGGTGTCACCCCCAGCAGGGCGGAGGGGCTTTGTCCTGCTCGCCTGGCTCACCACGGGCCGGGTAGCAAAGGCCCCTGTGGGCGGTGTTTTTGTGACGAGGGTGGGGGTGCAGCAGACGCTTCGTTTCGTTTTAATGCAGTGGTGCATGTCTGCAGAAATGAGAGGCGGTGGGTGGACTGGGCGAGGGGGAAGGTCGGCGGTTCCCGACCTGACAGATGGCGCACCACCCGTGTTCAAATGTGACCCACCCCCCCACAGTTGTGGGTCCTGCTTGGTGCAGGGGCTGGACCTGGTTGATGGTCCAAGGTCCCTTCCGGCCTAGGAAATGATGCAGCCTGAAGTGCCACCAGCACATCTTTTTCAGTTGGCCCTTTGTGACATTTTTGTCATAAAGTAACTATACCAAATTTAACATGTACCATGGACGGGTTGTCTGTGTACCGAGGGTGGTGCCCGTACTGGAGTGGGAACTGCTGTGCTAGGTCTCTACTTGCTCTCTCTCCTGGGAGGTGGGAGGGCCAGGAAATGTGGGTGTGAAAAGTCCTTTTTTTAAATCTCTCTTGCAAGTGTGAGGGTTAAAAATGATTGGAGAGCATCACAGCATAGTGCCAGGCTAAGCTTCAGGGCCCCAGGGCACTGGCAGGAAGCCTTTTCTCATAATGTCAATATCCTGCCACCAAAAGTAGTGACCATGCAAGAGGAAGTAATAGTTGTATGTATAATGGGGAAAATGAGACCTTTTGGCTTTCAGTACTAGAGGATTTTAGACTGTGCATTAGGAAGTCTAGAGTTTAAGTATATTTCTGTACAGAAGATGATTGGCCTGAATGTTGGGTGAAGCCAGGTAGTTCCTACTCCTATATCCAATTCCAAGACAAAGATTTGTAATAACATGCAGTAAATGCTGCCATGGTGAGAAACAAGCTCAGTATGCTGGTAGCAGCCCCATCCCTACTAGGCAAAGTACTTTATGGACAACAAAGTTCTAGCCTCACAACTGGGAGTTTCAAGACTTCCACTATAGGGCTACTTTGCTGTTTGGTTTTTAAAGCCCCCAAAGATTATGGAAGCACTGGCAAAGGACAGATCAGAGCAGCCTTGCAAAACTTCTCTTGTACAGGGGGTGAAAGCTGTTCTGGGGAGAATGAAACCAATGGCTATTATTCTGCTGTTGTGGTAAAGAGCGAGTAAACATGTCCCTGGCTTGGTAAAACCTGATCCGGTTCTTCAAGGCTGGATTAGTGACAGGGTAACAAACTGTTTAACAACAACAGCAGAATGCACTTGACAGATATTGTAATGCATTTGGTCATGACTGCTCAGTATTTGAAAGAACAATGTTTTAGGTTAGGTGGAGGGAAGGAAGGATTTCTCTTTACCAGATGCATATTGCAGGCTGTATCTAAAAAGATGAGCATCTACCTTGCAGATTGCAGGGAACATAAATGTATCTGCTTTACCAGGTGGAATTGGAAGCCTTAAATTAACCTCAGAAAATTCAAGTTACTGCAATTCAATTAAGCTAAAATGCACTCAGGAACTGGTATCTAGTCACTGGGCTGCTTCTAAACAAAGGCCCACCTTAAACTGATTACAGATGTGCAGAGCCTAAGATCTTTTTTGAACTGTTTGTTTACTTGTTTGTGGCATCAAAAATTCCTGAGACGGATGATGTAGCTCTTACCTGATGTGCATGAACCTGCTGTATCATGTGCTCTCTTAAATTAAGAGCCAAGGGAGTTGGATATCCTTTATCAATAAATTCTGGTTGCCTTGGCTGATTTGTTTGGGTGTTTTGTTTGTTCTCCCCCCAGTTGCTAAACTTTTTTTCACTTCCTAATTTATCTTTTTTGCCAGTATTTCGTGTTTGTGGCTAGATGGGCCTAAACTTCCCTCCCCTCCCCTCCCCACCCCTGTTTCCAATACATGGGAAGTGAGCCTTTAAAAAGGTGGGGTTTTTTTAAGGAAAGATCTTTGTAAGTGGTATCTTTTTAGAACTGCAGATTGATTATTCCCTGACTTCATTACAGTGTGACTGTAGTGTAGATGAAAACGTACTCTTATTTAGTAACTGGACAAAAGCATCAATACAAAGGCATTCACCCAGTTCTAGAGCAAGGTCTTGTCTCTGTGCAGAACCAAGTTGTCAGGGGTCAAAGGGTGCTTGCATTAAGTTCAGGAGGTGATCATTTTCATTTTTAAGCCTTCTAGTCCTCACAGGTTAGGCACTGCTTTGCCTATAGGTCAGCCTAACTTCCCTCTTGCTTTCTTCCTTCAGCTGATAGATTACAACTTTACTGATGCTAGGTCTTACCCCAGATTTAACTAGGAATATTTAATTGATCCACCCTTTTTACTTTGGAAACTAGAAAACTCTCAAGTGGCAGGTAACAAAATACTGTAGAAGTATTGGGCATCAAAGTGGATGAAAAATAGTTTGGAACAGTTAACTTTGTCATATTTTTGTAATGAGTGCTTGGGATACTCCACAGTTATCCTCTTGGATTTTAAGTGAAGTTAGTGTTGTGCAATTCTTCTATGCCAATACTTTTGATGGAATACCTAAATATGGGAATGGCTTAATCATCACAGAGCACCTAAAGGATATACCCAAGTTATACTTAGGCTGTAAGTATTCCTTATTTTAATCTTACCATTATGATATTTCAGGAAAATGTTTGTTGGTGGCCTCAGTTGGGATACAAGCAAAAAAGACTTGAAAGATTACTTCACCAAATTTGGAGAAGTGACTGACTGTACGATAAAGATGGACCCTAACACAGGAAGATCCAGAGGCTTTGGGTTTATTCTCTTCAAAGAACCTGCAAGTGTTGAAAAGGTACATTTCAGCTCACACAGTTAATTCCTTAAAAACTGTAGGTGAGGCCTTTAATTCAGGTGAAGGTCTTTAAATAAATTAATCTTAACATCAAATTATTTGTAGGTTCTGGAACAGAAAGAACACAGGCTAGATGGGCGATTAATTGATCCCAAAAAGGCCATGGCGATGAAAAAGGATCCAGTGAAAAAGATCTTTGTTGGAGGACTTAATCCAGAAGCCACAGAAGAGAAAATCAGGGAATACTTTGGAGAGTTTGGGGAGGTGAGCATTTTTAATCTGACGAGCATAGAATAAGGCAGGGCAGGGAATAGTCTGTCATCTATAGCTAGGAAACTGAATGTAGACTAAAGATGGAAGTAAAATAAAATTTGGCCCCGAATGCCCTGCTGCTTGTAGCAGCTTTTGCTTTTGCTTTTACTTTGTTAACTACATAGTTATATACTGAAATTGCCAGTTAATGGTCTGAGTCTTAGTGGTTAATCAAGTGCTCATATTGATTTTTTTTTTTAGCCACTTATTTATTCATAATTAAATTACTTTTCTCAAACTACATCTATAAACTAGAACAAATTTGCCTAAGAGAAAGCCAATTCTAATACAGACTAGCTAACTGTAGCTGCTTATGTACCAAGTGCTAAGCTGAAATAAAGAATAGGAACCATATAGTGAAAATGCAGAATCTTAAAGTAGCATGCTCAAGTATAATTTCCGGTCTTCAGATTGAAGCAATTGAACTTCCGATGGATCCAAAGACCAACAAAAGGAGAGGTTTTGTTTTCATCACATTCAAGGAAGAAGATCCAGTCAAGAAGATCTTGGAAAAAAAATTCCATAATGTCAGTGGAAGCAAGGTATGAAATTGTTCAGCTTGAATTGCATCTTCCCCTATGATACCATGTCCATAATCTGTTTATAATGCATATTTTCAGAACTGACTTCTGATATTACACAAAGGCAATAAAGACACTTCTTATTTACAATACTTAGCTTTCTACCATGCTTTATATAGGTATGGTTAGTGTGGTGATAATTAACTAGTTAAATTGGATTAATTCATTAATCAATTACTCTATCCAGGGCTTGGAGTTGTGCACTAGAACTCCCCACTTTCTACTGGCATGTATTGAATGCATGCAAGTTGATATTGTCATTAGAAGTTGCTCTTGCATCAAGTCAGACCTCAAAAATGAGTTTATTTGGTATCCCTTGCTAAATCCATATACAGATTTTTGTCACTTAATACACTTCCACAGGCTGTGGAAGGGGAAACCGAATAGGCAAAATTATATTAATAAATACTGGGGAAAATAGCTAACTGTGCAGATGTAACAGTTGAGTGAGATTCAGCAGTTAGCTTTGTCCCTAATTTGGAGTGTTCCTTTTAATAGCACTTTCTGGTGTGACTTCTCTGCTAAGTAACCTGCCCAGGCACTGATTACCAGAGTCCTGATTCTATGGAAGCTCAGTTGCACCTTCTTGAAAGGACAGTTGTGGAGGAAATGTTGCTATGAGCTGTCCTATGGCTGTAAATGCCCATTAAGTTCATTTTCCTGTTGCCTTCAACCAGCTTTAGCAAAATCTTAGTGTACAAGGTTGGCTGTGAAGCATTCTTAGTGGCAATACTGTATAGTTGAGTGATAAGCTTCACCTTTGCCAAAGGTGGCAAATGTGTATTTTGTAAGGGTCTTTGCTAATTTTGGCTTTATAACTAAATGAGTTCTATAGCTTGATGCATTTTGTGATCACTTAAAGCTAGTATCTTTCTGGGAGAGCTTTAAAAATCACAATACTAGCAGAACTGAGGGCTGTGGCAAAATGATAAGATCCCAGTGACTTTAAAAGCAATGTGATATAGGAATAGAATTTTGTATGAAACAGGTTTTCAAGCATATTGCTCTCCTCTGTTTTGTTCTTAGTGCGAGATCAAGGTAGCACAGCCAAAAGAAGTATACCAACAGCAGCAGTTCAGTAGTGGTGGTGGAAGAGGCAGTTATGGAGGAAGAGGCAGAAGTGGAAGAGGTGGTAAGTATTGCACACGCTACTTTAGTACGGACACTATAGAAATGAGCTGTATGTACTAAAACGGGATTTTGTGGATGGTTTTCCCTTCTATAGCTCAGAGTCAAAATTGGAATCAAGGTTATGGCAATTACTGGAACAACCAGGGTTATGGGAGTCAAGGATACGGCTATCAGCAAGGTTATGGTGGCTATGGAGGCTATGATTATTCAGGATATGGGTATTATGGATATGGACCAGGCTATGATTACAGTAAGTAAAGAGAACTGTATTGGGTCTAAACAAGCAGAACTAAATTTCAGTTTAATCCATTTGTTCTCCTGTTTATAGGTCAAGGCAGTGCAAATTATGGAAAGTCACCAAGACGTGGTGGTCATCAGAATAACTACAAGCCATATTGATCAAACTTATTCAGGTATGCAGTGGCATGGTCTCTTTTTGGAAAATGACCACATAGGTTTTGTATTCAATGCTGTAGATGGCTATTTCAATTATGTACCAAATTTAACTTTACAATAAATTTCTATGGCCTGTTAAATGTGCATCTTACTTGGAAGAGCTCCCTGGAAATGTCTTCTCTGTTTAATACTTACAGATAACTAGTTGTCTAGACAGTGTGGTGTGTAAAATTTCAGCCCTGCTGAAGATATTAATTAATGATTTTATTAATAGGTTGATTTTGAGGGTCTGCTTAAAGCTGCAGCTCTGCATCTAGGGACTGCCTCTTGGAGTTAACTATGGACTCTGCATTACTCCAGTTGTACAGAATGAGATGCATCTTAGGGAACCAGTGTCACTTTCCACCTTTTTATTTTGTATTGTTTTTGTGTCATACATTTCCTGTAATGGAAGTGTTAATTTTACTGTACTTTTTGGTACCTTTTTGGAATCTAATGTATTGTAAGGTATTTTACATGTGTTCTGATTCACCATGACATGGATATTGAAGCTATCCTAGCTTTTGAAATAAAAAGGCATAATCTAGTGTCTTGTGCCATTCTTCAGCTTGTGCCTACTAAACTCTAGTGTACTGCTTCTAGAACAGATGCAGAAAACAGGAGTTAATGGCTTTTATTGGAAAATGGAAATGTTGAACTAAACTATGCAGCACTGGGTAGTAGCATGGCTCTCTTGCAAATGAACAACAGCTGAAACCTTTATTGTTAATATCTTGGTTTTGAAGTTAGACTAGAATGCTTAGTGGAAATCCCCAGCTGCCAGTAAGAGCTGCAGGTGTGCTGTTTGGTCACTTGTTACAGAGTCCTCTGGACAAGTGTGGTGTGGTGGCCTTCTTGGACAAATGTAGTTTTGCACAGTTGTTTGTTTCTTCCTTGGGAACCATGGGAGGATGTTCATTGCAGGATGACAGAATAGTGAGAAGCCCTTCTTTCCTGTCTTATAGGACCTATTAGTAGTGCTTATATCCAAGTTGTGGGAAAACCCTTTTCCTTGGTATAAGGTAATAAGCAAAAGGGTTTAATTTATCCTGGAAAAACAAGATGGGAAGAAGTTTTAACGTCTAAAAAAATTGCAAACTTTTCAGTCTTACCTACAAAAGAACAAAACCTGAAGGGACCAGGTATTTATTTGTCAAAGCAGGGCTTCTCAGGTTTCATATCAGCTTGACCACTTTTTGCTAGAGGCAGTAATGCTCCACTGAAGATGTGGTCCTATGTTGCTATTTCCTTCTGTGTGCATGGCTTTTCAATATTTCAGGCAATAAAATTATTAATTTATTTTAAAAGTAGCTTGTTACCTAGTCTCAAACTTGTAGTTATAGTATTCTCCCTGTACTAAGTTTTAATGGATAGTTCAGCATCCCAGGAGAGTAACCTGATCGATAGCTTTTCAAAACTGGTAGGGCCATCTTAACTGTAGTTGAAATTACATGTCAAGCATGTCTTTGTTTTGATACTCAAGTTTGGCACAGCAGAGAAATAGGATTGGTATCTCTTAAACTTGGCTGACTTTAAGCTCACAGGATTTGCAATATTTTGGAGCCCGAGTGTGCGAGAACTGTGGCCAAGAGGGCCTCTTGTGCATTAAATTACCTCGACTATTCTTATATTTTTCAAAGCATGGAGGGTAGAACAGTACCATTTCATGTATTTAAATGTTGTGTGGGGACTGCAAAGTAACACTTGGAATAACCAGCCTGCTGCTTTATTAGTGGCAGATTTGAAGAAGTGTCTGTACTGTGGTGTATTGGGTAGCCTGTCAAATACATACATACTTGTCATTAACTGTAGAATGTGCTAGATGCCCTTTTTACTTCGAAACTATAAGTTGTTTTGGGTACTACATGTTTGTTCCTTAATTTTTTTTCTTTTGGTGCACCAGTTGCATCTTTAAAACGGCAGGAAAACGGATCTGAACCTGAACAAGCTGTTTAAATGCAAGCGTCTCAATTACTGTAACTTAAAGTTAATGATCAAGTGCATAGTCTCTCTTCCTGTTGATAAACAAAACTGAAGTATTTGAGCAGATAAAACAAAACTAGAAGAGAGAACTGACAAACTGAATAAGCGAGGAAAATGCAAACTCTACCTTCAACTATGGAAATTCCTTTTCAAAAGGGATGCTGTATAATAAAAATCCCTATAAAAATGTTAGCACCTAGAACTGTAGGTGGTGCCTTTTTAAAAAGCTGTTGCTGATAGCTAATTTCAGTGTAAAAGCTGCTAATAAGTCCTAGTTGAGCAAGTGAATCTGACTCTAAAAAAGTGAATCACCCCCTTTTTAATATTAAGGTCCTGTTCTTCTAGATCTTCCAGCTAATCCTTATGGTTTAAGCCTGAGCTAAGCAAAAGGCAGTCCCAGAAAACTGAGTGACCTATCAATGTAGTGCTTCAAAAAGCTACTAGTCTTTCTTGGCTAAATATTAAGATTGGACTTGTTATACCTACATGCCACTGCTACTTGCATCCTTTTTATGGCAGTGTGAAGAAAGGCTTGTGCAAGCAGCATGTTACTCAAAGGCAAGCAACTAATCCATCTCTAAAGGGGAGCTGGCATCCAGCTTGTGCTGTCTTGCAGTATTGACTGGCTTTTTTGCACTTTCAGCACAGTTTGTTAACCTAGTTTCTTCCAAGATGTTGCCCCTTCATGGGTGTCTGCCTGAAATGGATACTAGTGCTCACCTAGTTAAAAAAATAAGTTAGACTAATAATAGACTGTTCAAAAAGCTGACCAGTTAGAGCACTTGGAAAGTGATTAAATAATGAGGGAGGAGTCTGTTTCAATGATTAGGAATGTGATTATCCTTGCTCAAATGCATGTTGCCAGGAGAGGATTACCCAAGCAGCTTGCTAATATATTAATATTCCAAACAAATAGCTGAGCTGCCCTGTTACAGCATAAGCACCATCCAAAGATACCCCAGTGAAAAAATGCACCATGTACAAAGGGTATCTAAACAGTTACTGTAGGACTAACTGTATTGCCCAGATACTAGTGTTCCTAGCAGGCCAAATAATTTCTAGACTCAGCAGTAGGACAGGAGACTTATGCCTTCACTGTCTATGGCTCACTAGATAAGACCACTGCTCTTCTCCCTAGAAAAGTCTGCTCATAATGCTGAACTTGGAAAGAGTGTACTTTTACCTGGAAAGTGCCTTTCTAGTTCAAAGCTTATTTTAGCACAAAGGACTTGGGGGAAGGGGGTTCTGCAACCAGGAAGTCAGACAAGCACAGCAAAGGAGGAATAGGCAAGTCCTGTGAGTACTAACTAGGTGCCAGGGACCTTTTTGGCTCACCTGTTTCATCATTACAAAATGGCTTGAACCTGGAAATGTGGGTTCACCACAGCTAGAATACAGCTAATCTGTTCATAAATGGTCTCTCCAACATTGCAGGAAAAGCTCCTTTCTAAAGCTGGCTGTCCACTGGAAGTGGAACCCACAAATCCTGCTGAGGAGCACAGATCCTGTGTCCATTTACTTTAGCTAATGCTTCACAGAGCTGGTAAGAAGCTAGAGCTAAAAACTACAGCTGCAAAGACAAATGTCTTCTGGCAATACTGTGTTCTTGAGGATTTAAACTGCATCAATTAAGGTAGAATAATGAACCTGTGCAGTGGATTTTGTGAATATTGGTTGGAGTTTATGGAAAGAAAGTATGAAGTTACTCATGACTACCATTTTTCCATGAGAAAAATCAAGTAATTAGTGCCTCTAGTTTTGGCTTGTATGTAAGGCAGGCAGTCATACTGTTACCTTCTAGAAGGTGCTTCCTGTACTTTTGTAATGAGGTAGTTGTTTATTCCTGACTTATTTGGACCTGGGGAAAAGCCAACTTAATGCAGGAGACAGTACATACATGTTTAAAGTACCTGCATTAAGCCGGTCAATTGTAATGACAGCTAAATCAAGCTGGAGGTAACTAGAGTTTCTCTGTCCTCTGAAAACTGAATAGTACAAGTAGGCAAAGTTTAGTAATAACCCCAAAATGGAAAGACCTGCTTCAGCGTTTCTTTTTAAATAAGTGTTACTGCCTTAAGTAATGTATGCTACAGTGTAGAGGCGTTTGGTTTTCTTCCCACCCCTTTCCCATGTCCACATGTGTGGGGCTGTTCTTGGTGTCACTTGGACCCCCCCAAACAAACAAACAAAACCAAACCCAAACAAACCCCAAACAAACAAAAAACGGAAAACACTAGTTTCGAGCCCTGTACTATACATTGCCAAACCATTCTGGTGACAGACTTTCTGACCACTCTTCAAGCAAAGCAAGCAGTTTTTTTGCAAGTAAGACAGGAACAGGCCCCACAACTCTAAAATGATACACACTGAAACCCTAGACTACTCCAGCTCTACTGTTACTCTGTCATTACTACAACAAGTAGTTTCCCCTCAGTAAGAGCAACCTGTCTGTAAAGGAGGTAACTGGCTCCTAGGGTAGTAAGTTGAGGAAATACATAAGCTTTAAAAATTTATGGTGTAATAATGCTAAGTAGATTTCTTTTAATTGAAAGGTTTTAAGTGGCACTGTAGTTTTAATGATGTATTAAAAGCTAGCTAACTTCTACTGTTCCCCTTCAACAAATGTGCACGTGGCAGCCTTTTGGTGTTAGATACCCCCCTCTACATGGCTCAGAAGTTAAGCAAAATATTGAACATAACAAACATGTTGCTCATTTCTTCACTGTAAGTATACTGTATCATAAGTGATCTTGACAATTTAGTCAAGTAGTGGAAAATTTATAAAATGCTTACCTATTAAAATTGAAGCTTAAGATTCAAGGTCTCCTACTGGTTCACATGCCGCCTCTTTTTCCATATCTGAATATGGAATCAACAAATGTGTAAGTGTTGAAGCCCCTTTTTACTCCAGTGAGTTGACTTTGCCACCTGAATGCAACACAGTTGCAAACTGCAGACTTAAGTCTAAATGTAACACTTTGTTCCTCTGATCAATTAAATCAGTCCTCCCCGCACCTGTGCCCAGGCAATTGAAAACAAAAGGAAGCTTGTGCAACAAGTTATTATTGACAGGTTGAATATCTTCAGTACACATTTGAGAATCCAAATATTAAAAACTGGTCTTAAGTTTGTATTACTTGGGTTTAATT